CATCAATACAGAGGGAATCCAGCGTACGCGCAAGAGCCACCTGTTGACCTGCTTGCTTCAGTGTGCGAACATTGAAAGTGGCTAAGTATACAGGCTTTCGGGGTTTGAAAACAGACTTCGAAGTGTTTAGGGTTGTAACTGAACTCGGACGTGCAGAAGCTGCAGCTGAGTGTGATGCAGGGCGAGCAAAACGGTCAGTCCTAGAGCTGGGAACTGCGGATAAAGTATTCAAATTTGGGCAGGGGAGGGTGGACGACGGAAAACGTGAAAGTGTAAGAAGGGAGGCGTCAGCAGTAGCATGTTTCCGCTTACCCGCCCTGCTGTATGCAGCAAGTAAGGCGACCCGGCTGATGGCGCCACGCGATGGCCGATGTGGCATGAGAATATTGTTAGTTGTGTAGGTCATGGTTGTACGAGGGCTGGGATACTGCCAGGGCGCCCACACCTAGACAGGAGGACGATTAGGATCCTCAACCAAAGCCTTTGGCTCAAAAGCCTAACCGCAAGGTAGCGGTGTTTGGCGAGGAAATGCAAATGCATTACCTTTTCTACGGAACAAGTCGCCATACATGTTCCAACCCCCAACCTGGAGGACCAGGATACTGAGTTCGTCAGACCTCTAACCATTGACCAACCTGGTATGAGAGACTCTGTGAGTGTCGTGCGGACACCCCCCAGTATAGCTCAATGGGTCGCCGAGGCACACAAACCACCGCACCACGATAAGGTCCAGTCTCTTCGTGACGGCACACGGTTTATAGCTGATAAATTGAAAACTGAATTGTTGCTGCAAGATTGGATGGGAAAAAGCCTAATTCTTGCAGGTGGACCAATCATTGTAGTAGGTAATTTCGTTCACCTGAGAAGCCGTATAAATCACGGCGGACTGGTGATAGACTGAATCACTTCTCGCATTAGGACAACCCATGTTGTGTTTGCTAATCTCCGACATTTTTGGGGCCAACGTGGCATGAGTTTTACTGCCAAGGTAGTGTACAATGTGGCGGCCCGATTTGAGGGATCAGACACATGGCCGCTGCATGTAGCAGACCTTCGAAAGCCCTGTATTTGACCATAAATGTGTCTTCTAAGCGCTGTGCGGGTCCGTTAGGAAAACCATACCAGTGATGTTCAAGTACGGTAGACGGTTTTCGGGAAAGTTCATTCTCTCTCGATAGATCAGCTGGTTACACTAAACGGGTTGCGCTGGTCCATGTTCTTCTACGGTAGACGGTTTTCGGGAAAGTTCATTCTCTCTCGATAGATCAGCTGGTTACACTAAACGGGTTGCGCTGGTTAGGCCATGTTCTTCGTATGTCAGAAAACTGCTTGCCTCGCAAAAACCTCCACCCAGGCTTGTGTCAGATAGAGACGACCAATAAGCTATCGGTCCATGACTTGGCAACGAAGCATGAAAGGCACAGTCAACTCAACCAGTTTCGTAATTGCCGTCTTCCAGGATGAGGACGCTAGGAAGAGATAGATCAATGGTTAGCGGCACACGTTAACAGGTACGGCTGTCACGCAACCAATGGCGGTCTTGTAACAAAACTGTCGCCTTCACTGCATAGCTCTCACCTCCTGCCATAATAGACAAGCAGAAGCATTCGACGGAAATGAAGCGATTCAGTCAGTACCTCTGTTGTTTACACCCCTTATCTTCAGTTAACGAAGGTGTAACAGCTGGAATCACCGGACTTTGGTATGCGTTTTGTGAGCTTGAAAGTGAACTGCAACCAAATTAAGTGACGGCCTCGAAATAAGACGACCGTTTTGGACGGCCAAGGACAGGCACCTTCCACGGATGAATAAAAACACTGGGTCTCGGTAGCCAGCGATAGGCCAACTGCCTCCAAGTGTTAGAAAAGTGCTATGCTCTCCTCGCGTCACTCATAACCCCATTCCTACACGTTCTGAGATCATCTTATTAACAGGTTAGCTGTAGGGTGTCAGGAAGGTGAGATTCCTGAAAATAACCCCAGAATGCCCGAAAGTTACTGTGGACCTCAAACCCCACGAAAATTGCAGTAGGGGAGAAATCAAGTATCCAGACAAGCAATGCTGATCGTACAGCCTAGTTCCAAGGCTAAAAGTTAGCTTTAAATACCGCAATGCACTCACCTGTTTGCAATGAAGCTTTTGTGGTTCTTGTTGCGAAGCTTTTTTTGATGCTAAGGTACTGGAACGTGGATAGTAGTTATTTACAAATTTCATCAAAAAACAATGACGCCACCGTCCTTTCAGATGATACGGGGCACAGAGTCATAAACTGTTCATCAAACTTTCCGAGTCGCTTATATTACCAGTGGCTACCAGGGCCCCTTAGAAAAACGTTCGAACCGTTCGTATATCTGAGGTTCCTCAACTACTGGAAGCATATATCGGAATTCATTCTGCATACACGGATAGATTAAGGAACAAACTGTTAAGCAAAGTTCAACATTTATTCCAAAGATCGCAGAGACGATCTATTAAGTTTACCAGAGGTCTTTGTGCAGTGAATTACCCAACTATAACAACCAATTTGCTTTCCATGAATGTCGCTGATTGTGGACAGACTCCCTGCTATCTTACCGGATTTAGAAAACCCGCAGCCACCCACGTCCACATAAAAAACGCAGCCACTCTGAGGCGATGGACTCAGCTCAAACATTGATGGGGAGAAGTATACTCTTCAACCGTTTGCTGTTGCTGGGAGCTCGTTTCAAACGGAATCGCTTCTGTGCCACCCTTAATGACACTCAAAAACGAGATAAACGCACCAATTTGTAATCTAACTCGATGGAAACCAGAGACTCAATTGAGTGTTTGGGAGGACACACCATCCGCCGAGAAGGTTCACCTACCAGCAAACACACCGAGTGCTCTTTCACACCTTCCTTCCATCAACGATATCTGCCTTTCCACTCTGCTGCTCATCAAAATAATTTACGCTAATCTCACATTACGCGTTGCGCAGCATACAAAACCAAAATGAAAAAAGAAATACTTACCGTTTTAGTTTCAACGGAACTATCTTCTAGAGTCTCTCCGAAACCAATTAGGGCAGCCACCACGCTACTACTCATACGGACAGTTCTTCGCCAGGCTTTCCTGGGCAAGAAGCTGAGGAACACATTCAGCCGTGCTGTCGAGCCTTCGCTCAAGGTCGTTCAAGGTCAGTTCAAAAACAGCTTCTCTATAGAGGAGAAAGCCGGTAGATCAGGTAGCGTAGATGGCCGCTGACTTGTTCGCTGAGAGGGTCACTTTGGCTGCAACCGTTCCATCACCAATCGAGGTGACATCATCAGTGCGTAGTTGTGCGTAGCGGTGGATTAGTGGGTGTGCGTTCAGTAGTGTTATGTGTGTGTTGATATACGTGCTGGTAGCCGGGTATTACCTTTGACCGCGATTAGTCATTCCGTCGGGCGGTTCCATTGGTTGTTCTTTTATCCCGTGTCCTCATTCGCCGATGCTCACGTGACCTTTGAACTTGGCACCCCTCGCCGTCGTGGTCTAGTCGATGTTGGAGTGACCTTTGCCCTTCCGAGTTCCGGTCGTGACCTTTATTGATTTGACTCCGAGGTGTTCCCTGTTTCTTCGTTGGTGAATCCATTATTCGGTCCTCCTTGAGTGTTTCGGTTGCGATGTTGATATCTCGCACGTAGAGTTGCGTAAATTGGATCCAGTTTAATGCACCGGTTTAGGAATCCTTCCGTAGAGTTCTATGCTTCCAGAAATTCTCTTCCGTGTCGCGTATCTCCGTATGCCAAAATTTTCGCGTTTTCCAGGTTGAATTTGTGGCCTTCCTGGTTCTCGTGTATGGATATCAAGGACAGGGGGTCATGTCTCCTGACAGCCGCGTTGTGTTCTTTTATTCGAGTACATAATTTTCTCCCAGTTTGTCCAACGTAGAATTTGTTGCCGTCGTTGCAGTCGATTTGGTATATCACATTGTTCCTCTTGGTTTTGTCACGGTTGTCCTTCGGTCTAGAGATTAATTTCGTTAGTGTGGCACTCGGTTTGTGGGCCACGAAGATTTCTTTTTTGCGTCAATAATCTGGTTGCGAGTTCTGATATATTCTTGATGTAGGGTAGGACTACCCGTCTGGTGGCTTGTTCTTGCTGTGGCTGTTGTTGAGGTGTCTTCTTTTTCAAGCTTCTCTTGATAAAACTCCTTGAATGTCCATTGTTCTGGAACATTCTGTATAGATGGTTTTCCTCCTTCTTCCGTAGTTCTGTGGTGCTGTAGTGTGTCTCCGCCATCTTAAACAAGGTTTGGACGCAGCTCTTTTTGTGGTTTACTGGATGGTTGCTGTTGTAGTTCAGTATTTGGTTCGTATGAGTCTCTTTGCGGTGTACGCAGATTTCCAGAGTCCCGTCCACCTTTCTGTTCACTAAGACGTCCAAGAATGGTAGCCGATTGTTTCTTTCCAATTCGATTGTGAACTTGATAACTTCAAACTTTTTGTTGAGCAGTTCATGTGCGTCGTGTACAGAGTCCCGTTTCATGATGACAAAGGTGTCGTCCAAGTAGCGGATCCACAGCTTTGGATTGATGATCGGCAGCACTGTACGCTCTGGTCTTTGCATTATCACCTCAGCAATGAATCCTGATGTTGGGGATCCC